CCTGGAAACCCAAACATTCAATTAATCATGAGAGAATGATGAAGTTATTTTTAGTCATGCAAGATGTAAAAAATATCACTTCCATGCCTTCTTCCTTAGGAAGCTGTTGGAGGATATACTTAAGGTAAGCAATGGATTAGCAAGGCTTTGGATATAGGGTAAAGGGAAAGATCTAGCCAGAAAAGCAGCAAAGCAAAGGATATCCCAGGATAACCACTACATTGAACTAGAGAAAAACAAGTTCGGATTTGACCAGGAAAAAAGAAGGCTGGTAAAGGAGGTGTCCAGGAAAATAAATGGAATTCATAGTTTATTTGACATATATAAGCCTTAGGCAAGATTATTTGTAGGTATTTGCCAAAACCCTTCAAGCATTTAGAAAAAAAGTAAAACAGAAAGCAGAGGAGAAAGATAAAATTATCAACTTTAGGAAAGACTGAAAAATTGCACGAGAAGGGACATAATCATGACAGATTATTTGGTTCAATGGTAACATCATTTACATGGCCATAAAAATGGAAACACTGTATACTAATGTGAACTACATAAAAATTAAAATCTTATAGTGAGGAAGTAGGGGATGATGATGAAAAAAAAATCTTCATTTTAAGCATTATGTATAAAACTGGTAAATAAAAAATGGTAGATAAGCACATTATTTATTAATATGAAATAAGTTTCAGAAGAAACAGCTCAGAGTTTACAATAGTTGATTCTGGTTGGGAAGTGGAATACAATAGGGAAGGGTGAGGCAGGTGTTACTGATTATAAATCATGTCGTATTACCTGATTTTAAAAACTACGTGGACATATTGCTTTGACAAAAATAATAAATTTAAAAATACACAAGGAAATAAAATGATACCAAAATATGGTGAATATGATTTTAAAACATATATATCAAAGTTATTTTCTAAAAGTAGCATGACATTGATACTCTGTATTAGCAGTTCTCAACCTGTGGGTCGCGACCCCTTTGGGGGGGTCTCCTGCATTATCAGATATTTACATTATGATTCATAACAGTAGCAAAGTTACAGTTATGAAGTAGCAACGAAAATAATTTTACGGTGGGGGGTCACCACATGAGGAACTGTATTAAAGGGTCACGGCGTTAGGAAGGTTGAGAACCACTGCATCTAGTCTTAAGAATACTACAGTGAAGTCAATCAGGTACTTACAGCATTAGCCTCATTGCTATCACCAATTAACAGACACAGAAGTCAAAGTAAGAGACATTTAATATTCACCTACTGAGTTTAATTGCCCAACAACAGTCCCAGAATGTTTTATTTTAAAAGGTATTTCTATAGAAACGCAGAACTCAGAGTCATGTGCATGTATGAGGCGAAGATACTAGACGTAGCACTCTGGCAATATTTGAAGACTGAATTACAAAAATCTGCTTCATTTTGTGGGTACACCTAAAAAAATGATACAAAAGAGATATAACTAGTAGAAAAATAAAACTCAATTAGTAAAATTCTGTTGCAGATTTTGAAATTATTAAATATATTTATCATCCACTCACAAAATAAAATGTGCTTTCAAAAACTTCTGAAACAAATGTTTTTTTGAAATTTATTTCTAAAAGTCACAGAGACAAAACTTTAAAAGCTACACATTTATACTAAAGATACATGCATGAGCAAAAAAAAAAAGCATGGTGATACAAAAATGAACATAGTAAAATTTCAATTAATACAGTATTCAGATACAAGTAGAATACCACTAGGTAAGAATTTTATTTACCTCAGAAATCTATGATAGTACGGGTTGAGATAAACCAAAGTTGAGGATAGCCACTTCACTCTTCACATTTTAATCAGTGCTGACCAAAAGCTGTTTATTTTAGGCTAAGATTTCCAGGGAAATTATAGAAGGAATTTTCTGTCATAAATCAAATTAACATGTTTTAAGGTGATGTCTTCATTTAATGGCAATTGGGGCAAGTCAAACCATGAAAAGCCCTTACAAAGACTAAGCACCAAATAATGAATTGTTTGTGGCTATTGTTCTGGCCCACCTTAAATTTTATTTTGCTTATGTATGCTTCCATTAACATTCATGCGCAAATTCTTTCAGGCAAAACTTTTAACAAGGAATTTTCAGCCTGGAGATCTTGTCAACTGTACTTAGTTTTTAAGCAATTACTACTTTCAGAACAATCCCAAATTGATACTTAAGTGGTTAAAATTTTAAGATGCAGAAATTTTTCTTTGAAGTTTTCTGGTCCCTAAAAATTCAGCAGGGCCAAATATATTAACTGGAAGTAGCTTTTTTTTTTTTTTTTTCTTAGAAAAAAGTCTTAAAGGTGATAATGGATAAAACAACTATATAGGCTCTCATACACAATCTTTCTAAATTTTCACCCTGTAAGAAATGATTATAATGTCCTTCAGACTTGCTATATGCCCCATATTCAAAAAGAAAGCCAGCAAAGAATTCAACATTTCAACAAGCTAGGAACTATTTACTGTAAGCATATTGTGAAATTCTGGAAGACATACTACCATACTGAGAAAACACTATTAACAGGTAAGCATGTATTGAAGAAGGCAGTTTATAAATGAAACATTACAAATCTTATGTTTATGCATACAACTTATAAAACAGAAGTTGCTATTTTTCCAATAATATAGCATCACACAAACACTATATAGTTAAGACTGAAAGCTTCTGTACACATGTTCACTACACCTCCAAAGCAGCATGTGCCTCTTAGACATTCTCATTTGCTATCTAACATATGCCAATCATGGTTTCAGGGATTTGTACCAACCAGTTTGAGCAAGCTACAACAATCATTCTGCCTTATTTAACTATGAGACAAAGTTAACCAGTTTAAGGGAATGAAAGTTTCATAATCAGTAAAGAAACATTAATATTAAATACCCACAACAGAATGGAAAATGCTTCTAAGGACATGATATAATCCTAACAGAATGGACTATGCCCCTAGATATAGTAAATGTGGGAATAATTGGGAGCCTGAAAAAAATACAGCAAGATAAGTGGGACCTAAATGATTATCCAATCAGTAATAACTACTAGAAAATTAAATATGAATTACTTATGTTTTTTTAATGCAACATCATCCAGTTTACTGCTTAGGACTATTCAAAGCTGTTCTGCCACTACATTTTGCTTTAGTGCAAATTAATATCCAAATAGGGAGCAATCTGAATCACATGGAATTTCAAAAACAGAATGATTGTGTATCTAAATTACTGTATTCTGAAAATAGGGCTGTAAAACTCAATTACCTTCTTAAGACCTTCTACTATCTTAGATAATTCAAATTCAACATGGTTGCCTGCAAATTCTTTTCTAGAAGTAAAAGCAAAACATTTTGATTATGTTTTGCTGCTGGTCTCCTCATATGTGTATGTCATCAACAAAAGCACTACTCAAGGCATTTATTGTGCTACTTTAACATAACTGAACATGAGAAAAATTGACGGTTCAAATTTTAACAAGTGATTTTTTTTTCTGGTGGCAGGCTTATTTTTCAATCAAAATCAAAAAATCAAATGGTCAGTTTGACAACATGAATTAGGAACTTAAATCTAAAAAAAGTTAAGACATGTAAAGTTGTTTCTGAAAAATACAAAATCTAACCTTTTCTCATTAACTTTGGCTTTTTTTTAAATGAAAATTTGTAGTAAAAATCAAAGATAACTCTGTCTAAGTCATATAGGGCATCATGTGTCAGTGCTCTATAATAGAAATATCTCTTATAAATATTTTTAACTTGAATGTCAAACAATTTAAGATTTTTTAAATTAAAGCTCTAGTCCAAGTTTTCAGCTGTTATGTTTTTTAAAAAATATAATTTGGGGCTCTGATAGAGAGGACTTAGCTGAGCTAAGCTACTTTGACACCCTTCAAGGACAGCAAGATTCAGATTGAAATCATTTCCTGAACTCCGCTGACCTTTAACAGAATTGATTATTTCCTCACCCAGTTATGCAGGATACTGCCAGATATTCACTACAAAAATCTTGTCAGAATTTCTAGACAATTGTTTACCATCTATGTTTAAAAACCTTGTCCCACCAGAGGCAAAGCAGATAAAAGTGAAAGTAAACTTGTTTCTACTCTACTTATCTAAGTAAACTCTTATAAAATCATATGGAAAAATTAATGTATAGAAAGTAATTTAGTTATTATCAGACATTAGCCAAAAAGTCATTACTAATTGTCTGTAAAAAGAAAAAACTCAACCATAAATTTCCTACTTGTTTAAAAAGAAATGCCAATTTTCAAGTCTTTTATAACAGTAAGACATAAAAAAAGTTTGCAAACTCAAGTTGATACTGAAATTCAACACTATGGTTCAAAAATCTGAGTTCCTAGTAAGAGACTAAAATCTTGTCACGGCAAAATTCTCTATGGCTCTTGGCACTGACATTAAATGAAAGATTTTAGTCTTTTGGTCACTTGAAACTGCTATAAATGTAATAAGCCTTTAAAAAGGGGGAAAAAAGTGAAAAATTGAAGTATAGTTAACTACATAATATACAAGTAAAACATAGTTTGAAATAAACAGTCATTTCTGCTAGGAATCGGAATCTGAAGATGTAAGAACAGTTTCCCACTGCCCCTTCCTTTTTGAAGAGGATCTTCTGATCAGAAATAATTTCTCTAAGTTACTGTGAGTGGTGTCGCCTGGCAGCAGCTTCAATTTCCTAGGCTAGTCTTCGAGAAATTAAGCAATTTCACAAGCAATAATCATACATGGCAACAGGGTAAAAAAGCAGGGCAGTTCATCCATGCACAAACATTTCAGGAGAAAAACCATCAATTTTAAAGATAACCATCAGGTTTCAGGCATCCTAGCACCCTCTAAACCTAAGTTTTGCTTTATAACATTGGTGACTAAAATTAACAAGTTTTGCAGTGAGGATTTTTTTTTTTTTTTTTTTTTTGCCTGCAACTATATACACATTGCAAAACTATTCTGCATCACATGATTTTAAATGAAATAAATATAAAAATGAACCACACAATCAACACGTAACTTTAATACTCCACATTATTTATCTTGATCACAATGGTGGTAACCTCCTTGTCAACAATCTTGTGAGTTGAGGAGCTGATTTTCATTCTCATATCCATCAGGAAGATAGGCTCTCCGCAGCTGGTCTGATTTAGGTATGGAGCCTCCATTCTTCACATGGCGAGACAGGAAAGCACGGACTGCTGGGTGATCAGCCTTCTCAAGTGGGATGTTGGCTTCCAGACACATTTTCACAAAGTCCTGGATAACACTGACTTTCTCCGTTTGTGCAGTACTGTTGCACTGAAGAGATGCAGTTAGGGGCCTCTGCTTCTTTCTCACATTCTGCTCTTCAAATTCTGCCTTCCTCTTGGTATGAGTCTTTGACTTGAGGTGGTCACTAATGGCAGACTTGCGCACATGATTCAGAACCACATTGCAAGAAGTGCAGAAGAGTTTTCCTCCATCTTCGTGAAGCTCACCTCCAAACTCAGAGACTCGATCCAGGGGCGTCACATACAATGCAGTCTTAGAACGGTTTCTAGCAGGTGGTGCTGTTACCACAAATCGTTCCATTCTGACTTTGGATAAGATTCTTTTAAGACAAGAGAAGAAAAGATACATGTTATAACAACAGCTCATTCTGCAAGTAATTAACAATAAAGGCAGGTTATAAGCACTCTAGGACATAAAGACTTCAAAAAACTTAATTCAAATTAATAGATCTGTGTCCAGTAAGTTTTAACTTATCCAAAATATATAAGGGAAGGCAAAACTAGAGCAAGTTACTAAATTATGACTAGGTACATTCCTTGATTTTTATGAAAATTCAAATAAATTAGAGTTATGAAGAAAGAACTCAAACTATCCCAGATGTAATTATCTTTTAGGAAAACCTAATAACAGCTTAACATTTATAGTGTCAATTACATTATTCTTATCCACTTTAGGTACATATTCAAGTTTAAAAGAGTTTCTTTCCGGTTACAATTTTGGGGCTAATGATTCTAGGAACACAACTGTGGAGAGTTTATTTAAATAGGTGGGCATGAACTGGCGTAATTCTATATGAAGATGGACATAACTTCCAAAATTGTTCTAAGGAGTAAAAGAAGTAAAAACTAAGAAAGAACACAGACCAAATGCCATTAACAGCAACAAAAACATTAAATTTTTAGGCCAAAAATAGCTAAAGTATATTTTCCTTAAGTATTCTATAGGATGATAAGCTATGCACAGTGCTGTTTCTCATTAAAGCCTAATAATTACATTTGTTAATATTTGTTTCACTTACTAGTAATTTAGAATATCAAGAACATAATGTCTAGTCTATGACATAAGCTCAATCAAAACTTGAAGGAAAAAAATAAGCATCTTCACTAAGTGTCCAAGTATTTTAGAAGCAGCTTAAAAATCTCTCAATTTATCTTAATAATAAGCTTTTAAGATCCCTGGAACTTTACAGGCTGTGAAACCTTGAGTTAATGAACACATATTTTAGTAGGTGACTGACAAAGGGTCTTTCAGTCTTCATTGTTCCCTGGGGCTGTGGCTTTGGGGAACCAATTTTGTAATTAAGATGTGAGACATGAATAGTAATTCGATAGAATATATATACACACATATGTGTGTATATATATATGCAAAAGATTCCTAACTGTGCTCTGAAGGACTATGCTTCATGTAATCAGAAATAATGGAGTATTCCATTAATCCAGAAGAGAGAATAACTGCGGAACATGAAATCTCCTTTGAAAGAATTTTTAAATTGTCAATGTGTTAAGACACTCATGAACCCAATCCAGAAAATTTAACATTTCACAGAAATTCTGGAAGGTATAATGAAGCCTAGGTATTTTTTTTCCATTAAAGTCAAAACATTAAATATTTGCACTTGCTAATGCCTAAATCTCACTTTCGAAAAGTCTTCTATCTTTGAATATTTGGATATTAAATTTTAAAACAATAAGTACACAATTCTTTCTAGCATAAAATGCTCAATCTACTCGTGTTAATTTGAAAAGCATACTTTCCAGTGTCTGTCAACTTTCAAAAACTGTTTGCGTTACTGCAGAGGCAAATATCTACCCAGTAGAGGATGCTCGAGTTTACATTCCTGAAGAACAAAAAGTGTTTTCAATAAGAGATAGGGATATTTTAAACAAATGAGAAAGTTAAAAAGTTAAGAGCAAGAGTTAGCCAACGGAAGAGAAGCAGCAAGTCATCTACTAGATTAAAATAAAACTCAGTAGTAGTTTTCAAGTTTAAACGTTTACCCGATTAGTTTCCAGTTTTTTCGTCTTGATATTCAGTAGTGAAAAGTCTCCAGTGCAAAACCAGAGATTCATCAAATCCTGAAACTTTCTGTTTGTTCAAACCCGGAGATGCCTTCGAATCAGTTTTTCAACAAGTGGTGGTGGGGAAATAGTTTCTGGGCTTGCACCCTATCTTCCCTGCCGTGCTGGGAAGTCATGCCTTTACTCTAAAATGCGGAAAACAAATGGAAAGAAAAAAAGGGGGAGGGGAAAAGAAAAAAGGGCGGATGAAAAGACGAACAAGCACGTCAACAACAGCCACCACGCAGGTGACTCTAAAATCGCTCTTCAGGTAACTCCACACCACAAACCCGATCTCAACGTTAACCCAACACTTCCCCTCCCAGTTCCTTCTTGGTTGTCGGCCCCGCTTTGCACCTCCTCGCGCTCCCCAGGCCCCGGGGTTCGGCGAGGGTGGGAGAGAGGCCCAGCGCGGGACGTTCCTGGCGTCTAGACTTCCCTCCTCCCGCGCCAAGCCCAACACGGCTGCCGCCCACCGCTCTGACCCCGCTAGCCGGGCAAGGCCGAGACCCAGCTGCCAGCAGTGGGCCCAGGAACTCAACAGCCGAGTTGGCGGCAGTCTCAGGGGAGGCGGCGGCAGAAGCCCGGTGGAGGCGGCCGCTGTCAGGCTTCCCGTCTCCTCCCTCTTCCTCCCGCAGACAACGGCACCCCGGCCCCGCCCCCGACTCCCGCTTCGGGACGGAAGGCCCCGGGCCCAGAGTCCGCAGCAACGGCCGGGCCCACCCTTGGCCTCCCTAGCTCCTCGGTACCGTAGGATCGAGGCCGCCGTTAGGGGAAGTAGATGAGACCCAGTCGGAAAGGAAAAGAGGAGGAGGAAAAGGAAAAGCAAGAGGACGAGTGAGGAGAACTCGTCGCTGCCGCCGTCGCCGCCGTTACCCGATCGAGCCCCGCGGCGGCCGCTGTGTCCCCCGCCGCGCCCCGTCCTCCTGCACCGCCTATGGTAGATCCCGTAGGCGGTCCCCAGCAACCGCCGAGCAACATTGACCAACAGACCGCTGATCTATCAAACAGACGGCTGAATTGACCAATAATAGTGGAAGGGCGGGCATAATAATAATTGGCGGCCAGCGTTATCCAATCAAAACTGTGGGCGTGGGTGGGCGGAGCCGGAAATAGAGGCCACCAGAGAGGCCCCTGTCCGGCTAGGGCGGAGGGAAGGGGGAGGGAACTAAAGGAGGAGGAGGTTAGCCGAGGCAGCTACAGCGGCGGCGGCGCAGGGGCTGGTACGCGCTGGGCGGCGAGAGCCTCATGGCGGAGGAAGAGAGCGACCAAGAGGCCGAACGCCTCGGAGAAGAGCTCGTGGCCATTGTGGAGTCCCCGCTGGGCCCTGTGGGGCTGAGATCCGTGGGCGACACCAGCGGCTGCAGTGGCGGTGGCGGCGGCGGCGGCGGCGGCGGTAGTGGCGGCGGCGGCGTTGGGATCAGCAGTCGGGATTACTGCCGACGCTTCTGTCAGGTGAGGCGCCCGTTGGTCGTCCCGACTTGTCACCCGGGTCCTGGGCCTCTCTGCGTCTTCTGGCCTTTTTGTACACACACTAATCTGGGCTGTGTCCAGTACTTGCTTCCCCAACCCAACAAGGAGGGTGAGGGTGAAGCTCCCCCCCTCCACCTATCCGGCTTGGGGTGGGGGGCGGGGAGCAGGACTGGGGTGACCCGCGGGTTTAGGGTTGTTAAGAAAGTGAGAGTTGGTCGTGGGTGGAGGGGCTAGAGAGAAGGAGGTTCAACTGGCTAGAAAGCTCTGTCCTGACATGTCTCTCCTACCCCAAACAGACCCTTTCTTGCTCGAGAGTCCCTCCTTTCTTATGTTTCTTACCTTGGTCCTTCTCACCTCGTTTGGAACCTCTGATAACAATTTCTGCTTCTTCTCCTGTGTCCCTTGCCCCCCGCCCCCGCATTTTTCTCTCTTTGCGAATAGGAGGTATGCCATCTCTCTACAACCTCCTCTCCTGTCATCGTCACCCTTCCCCCTCTGCTAGGGTCTCCTGTCATCCCTTCACAAGATCCCGCTGGGCCAGTTCTCCAATTGGCTTAAGCGCTGACCCACGGTGATTTAGTTACTTTTTCGGGTGTGGGGAGGCGGGTGTTAAGGCAAAGTGATTGTCATCTTTTCTTCTCTCTCTCTCTTTTTTTTTACTTTCTTCCCTTGACACGCTCTTTTCTAATTAACTGCTCGTGGAGAAAGTCATTTTCCTGAAAGTCTTGTTTTGGTTACATCATCAAGCTCCCTTATCCTTTAAATTACAATGTATTTTATTTAGTCTGTAAAATACAGTGTCTGAGCAATGACAGTACATTATTTACTCAGTTCACTGACACCAGAATTTGATGGTGTTTAAAGTGTTTGTAATCAGATATTATAGATCTAAAGTACTTGTTTGAGGGTAAAGTTTGTGTAGTCTGCATTCTCATCTATGTACATTTATAATTTACATGTTTTGTTGTCATTCATAACATTCTTTGTAAATCATTTTGAAAAAAATATTTACACCTTTTCCCATTATATCCCTTTTAGAATTTATTATCTTGGATTTATTAGGGTTCAAATCCTGGTTCCACCACTTTCTAGCTGTGTTGCTGGGGACCAGTTACAGAACCTCTCTGTGCCTCAGTTTCCTCTTCTGCCAAATAGGGATAATAGTTAAATTTAAATGAGTAAATTTCTAAAGAGTTTGCATTAGTTAGTTATTGATTTCATTATGGTAACAGGTAGGAAAGAAAGTTAATGAGAAGTGAGCATCATGTTTGTAAACATTTGATCTTTTGCCATTTCAAGCACTGAAAGAAAAAGCATGGAGTTGACATTTTCAGGTTAAGTTTTCGGTGCTTTAGTTCAAATTGTGTTTTGACTTTATTTTTGTCCCAGTGTCTTATAGGTTGGTTTGAAGGTTGAAATTGTCTTGCTATTATAAAGGGTGTGTCAGTTTCTTTGGCTTTGTATTCTATTTAGTGACTTTCTTGAAATATGTTTTTATTTTGATAATGGGCATTCACTGTATTTAAAAGTTAAGTGTCTTATTTTCAGAGCAATTGTTTTCTATACCTGTTACACTTAGTATGCTATTGGTAGACTTTGTGCCTACAGGAATTTTGAAGTTCTGAAAATTAGGATACAGTTGATACATTTAATATATTTAAGTTCAGAAAATCTTTTTCTGTTTTGCTTTTTATATCATTAAAAGCAATTTCTGGTTACATTTAGCTTAGCTAATTTACTTGCTCAAATAACCCTTGATTGCTGTAGAATTTGAAATTTTGAGAGTCAGAACATTTTTGAAGAACTTTTAACTATTATTGCTTCTTGAACTCATTTTTTAAAACAAAGTTAGCCTATGAAATACAGTCAATAGTGACAGTAAAAGATGTTAACAACGAAACAAATGAATACTGTTACATAAAATTTCACTACCTTTTGAATATCCAAGGAAATAAAAGTAAACAGTAAAAACTTAATGAACATTTATTTTACATTCCTAAACTATGAGTGTTACTGCTGTCATACTGTTATGTTAGTTTACCTGAAATCTCATTACATATTATATAATTCTCTAGATTGCCAACATATCTGTTCTTAGGGTTTCTGTCCATTTTGTGGGTGATCTTTGTGAAATATTTTTTTCACATTAAAACTTTTAGATGGAATAAAAATTACTTTTATGAAATTGAAGTTTATCTACCTATTAATAAAATTCTACTATACATATTCTGTTTTATTTGCCAGTAAGGTAAGCAGCGGATTGTATAATCTAATTCCCAACATAGTTTATTTTTAAATATTTGATTTTCTAATATTTATTGAGGGTAATAGTAAGCATTAATATTTAGTATTAAAATCAATTTCAATTTATTAGTAAATGACTTAATCATGAGTAATCCATTAAAATGGATGGTATGCACTTGAGTTGGTGACACTTAACTAAATATAGGCATTATACACACTGTCTGATGGTGTTGAGAAGAAAGGCTCTAATTTATTTTCCTTCTTTTAGAGGGAAATATGAATCAAATTTCTTGGCAGTTAGTTGTGTGGGTGAAGGGAGAGAGGAAGGAACTCTTCTTTTTAAGAGAGGTTCTTTCGTTTACCACTAGGAGAAGTAAAACAGAAGATAAATGGGGTAATGTTAGACTAACTCACCTTATTACAACCTCCCTTAGCTCTTGTTGGGATAATGTTAGGCTAACTCACCTTATTAACAACCTTCCAGTGCTTTAGTGCACTGTCAATAAATGCTATAGAACTGGCCCTTAACTGATACCTAATTTGCTTTGAAGATGCAAGGTAGGCGAAAGTAACTTTTATTGAGGGCCTTCAGATAGCTAAAAGTTACACAGTTGAAATTGAGACTTGAAGGTGTTAATTTGTCTTGGTTTCAGATAGGTAGAGAATCTGGGATTTGAACCCAGTTTTCAGTTTCTACTGAAAGGCAGATTGAAATTACAAATAAATTTTCAAATATTGTAGAGGGAATTTTCTTTCTTTATCTCTCTCTCTCTCTCTTCCTTTTGCAAGTGCTGCAAAGAGAAAAAAATTACTGAATGTACTCAGAGAATCATGGATGAAAAGTTCAAAAAGTACTCTCTCATCATGCCATGATAGTAAAAAATATTTCAAGAACCAGATCTTTATTGTCACTCTGATTTGTTAAGTCCTATGATCATTTCTCCAATTCCTTAAGGTTTAATAATTCAACTTTGTCACCAAATATATTGAGACTTTTTTTGCCATTAATTGATTATAAACTAAGCAAGTAGGTACTTTATTCTCATTCAGTGACAGGGTAAACATAGTGAGTAATAAATATTTCTGGAAATACTTTGATATCTTAATTAAAATATACTTTAAATTACTTCATACTGCAATGGAGTTAATAGTCATCCATGAGGATGTCATGAGCATAAAATGAAAGAATGAACATGAAGTGCTTAGTACTGTACCTACCATATAGATAGACTTAAAGAGATAGATGCTATTAATATTTCTCTCTTGTAAAATCTTCTGAGGAGTTAAGAGGGATGTTAGAGACAATATGTACGTAGTTGACAGTCTGTATCTCATAATAAACTTTAGAGAAAATTTAAAATTAAATTATTTAAAAAATTTTAACTATTTAAAATAGTTATAATTTTTTTTTTTTTTTTTTGGACAAAGTCTTACTTTGTTGCCCTTAGTACAGTGCTGTAGCTTCATAGCTCACGGCAACATCAAACTTTTGGGCTCAAGTGATTCTCTTGCCTCGGCCTCCCAAGTAGCTGGGACTACAGGCTCCTGCCACAACGCCTGGCTATTTTTAGAGATGAGGTCTCCCTCTTGCTTAGGCTGGTCTCAAACTGTGAGCTCAGTCAGTCCCCCCACCCCTACCTCCTAGAGTGCTAGGATTACAGGCATGAGCCACTGTGCAGGCCTATAATTCTTAAATATTGTTATTTAACTAGAAAAGCTGAATGCCCCTGTTGAAGCACAGTGATTTGCAAAAGAACTACCATTTTCTCTGTGGTAGGGGTTTCCAGAATTTTTTTGTTTCATACATTTGGCAATGTCAATAGTTTATATTTGTGTGTGTGTGTTTTAATTTGAGACAGAGTTTTACTCTGTTAGGTAGAGTGCTATGGCTTCATAGCTCACAATAACCTCAAACTCTTGGACTTGAGCAATCCTCTTGCCTTCTCCTTTTGAGTAGCTAGGACTACAGGTGCCCAACACAAGGCCTGGGTAGGGTTTTTTTTCTATTTTAGTAG